CCTGAAGAGGACTTCAATCCTACCTACACCCACTCCCAGTATGTGACCCACCAGATGCGAGCTGTGCTGGAGGGTGACTACCTCGAGGCTCTCTGCCCACCTGATTCACTCGAGAGGCACCTTGCTGGGGATCCCGTTTTCAAGGTTCCCATCGCTGTGGGTTCGGTCTCTGGGGGCTCCAACTTCGAGGATTCCACCGCTGAGAGCTCTGCTATCAGGGAAGAAGAGCCCGGAAGTGGTTCAGATGCGGCACAGTCACCATTTAACCTGACCCATTCGCCCCAGAACTCTCCCGTGAGAAGAATTGAAGAAGATGACTCTGGAAATACCATCAAAGTCGATACTCATGATGACCAGCAGGCCTTCTCAGAAGCTCAGATCAAGTTGGAGACTCAGACCGACTTTGACAACAAGATTGATCATCAGAACGGCGATTATGGTGGAGCTTTCGATGGGGATGTCGAGGATATTGAAGGCGGCAAAGGCCAGGCACACTCTCGCCGTGAGACCAGTTTTGTCTCCATTCAGTCCGTTGCAAGCTCCAAAGCTGCAGATGGTCAGCCACACAGCCCTTGCGGCAGTCCTGCGCATCGATACTTCGCCCGTCGCGGCCTGCCTTCCTCAGATTAGAATTAAAGTCGTCTTGGAATCTTCGAAAAAATCCAAACAGGCCGTGGTTCTGTGGTCCACTTTCAGCACAGCAACACCGTCACAAACACAGTACGGACGATGGGCTGTTGACGAGTTTGTGAAAGTTACACGGAGATGGGAAGAAGAAAAGCAAAAGGAAACCCCACCAAAAACGACCACTGGAGAGGGAGAGCGTCATGAGTTGTGGAGTCAAAGGTCCGGCCTTAGCATAACCAAAAAAGGAAAATGCTTGGGAGGACAGGGTGAGGATTTGCAAACCCTTTCCTAGAGAAAGGGTCCGTCACAGCAGCATCACCTAGATGGTCAAGGCGGAAGGTAGAGATACAAGCGGCCCGTAGCCATGACTGGAGGGTCGATCCGGCTATGAGACTCTACAGCACAGCTTTGTTAGCGTTGATCTTCATCTCGAGTGGTAGCCTCTTCTTGTTTATGCGGCCATTCACCAGGAAGAGGCACCGACTCGAGCATTCACATAGAAAATTATTTTCAGTAGACCAAACCCACGCAACCTTGCTGCCACTTGTGACCCCTCCAACTGCCAGTTACCAAGCTAATGCTTCCTACATCAGCATGCTGTAAACTTGTAGCATGCGTTGACCATGACACCCTTCTCTCCCGGTCAGACCAAGCACCGTCGCGCAATTGCAACACAACCCTTGCCACACTGGTGTAAGGTGAGAAACGCTCTTCCCCCTAGGGAGCAACTAAGGCGCGTTCGCCAGTCCCTCACGCCTGCTTCTGGCCCCGTTTCTCAGGCAATGGTATTCCATGCCACAACCCTCGCTGCCCCGCCATCAACCGACAACCTTTTGAAAATACAGGCGTGAATCCCACTGACAAAACGTTTGACACCAGTGACGAGGCCTGTTCGACAGCGAGCGAAAATCATGGATCAGTCTGAGGATCTGTCCGGTGGAGCCGACAACTCTGCTGACAGCCAGGCTCAGCGACCTCCTCCTTCAACCCACGATGGGGCTGGACTGCTCACTGCAAATCATTCCAATCCTGTACAAGTTATGCCCTGCCAGATCCAGATGTTCGCCAAATTTGACGACCAAGGCCGTCGGTACATGGTTTTGGAGAATTTGCCCCTCGAAAAGAACTATGTCGCCAACTGCGTCAATAACGGTGCAGAATTTGCGTAAGTCAACCGTGATGACGCCCGCCCATCAGTGATGGGAAACAGGTCCCATGCTCTGTTCCCGCGCATTCACATAGATCACTGGGTCGCTTCTCAAACTTGCCATTTTGCTGACTCCCTTCGTTCCACGCAGCATTGGCGGCACCCCAGAGTTTATCTCCGATGCTCTTACCAACGAGCTCGCGGCTCGAGTGGTCCAAGATTCCAGGAACCAGTACACACAGTCATGGCATGTTGTTGTCTTCCCTGACTCAAACATGTCCAATGCGCCGATGTCCCAGTTGTACCGTGGCTCTGAAGCAACTGAACGATATTCGATCGCCACAGCGTTGCGGCCCATTTGTCAGAACTATCAGAACAATGCTCAAACCAACCAGAAGGCTGTGTCCCTCCAGCATCGTCAATACGATCAGCAGGCGACGTTCGTGCAGCAGCCAATGCTCACTCACAGCAGCGCCATGGGTGGCCACGGACGGGGTGATTCATCTGTCTCACGGTGTCAGCAGTCACAATTCACCACACCCATGTCTAATAGCTTCAGCAATGGCGGTGGGTCAACGATGATGTTTCCCCAGGAGCAACTCTACTCCCAAACTCCCCATCAGGGCAGCTTTCAAGGATTTGGTCCGAACAGCGGACCGACTCAAGGCAACTACCAAGGCCAGAGTGACAACATGATGTTCAATCCAAACAGCGCATTCCCGATGGAACCTCTCCCCCAAGTTCACCGGCCAATTTTTGACAAGTATGGCTACATCGTCGGCGAGGGAGGTGCCGGTAACAGAAATGACGGCAACATGTACGGTGGCAACTTGTTCAATGAAAATATGTACAGAGCCAGGATGGGCAATACGTCTGGTTCCTCTCAACCTTTCCCATTCCAAGGATCTCAGCAGCAATTCAATTCACCGCAACAGGTACAGAATACGGAGATAATGGACCCGCAGCAGGTACAGGATACAGAGATGAGGAGGGACCCACAACTCGCGGCTGCCGCCCAGTCGTTTTACTCTTTTGTCACAAATAAGATGGACCAGGATGAGAACGTTCAAGATGAGGATGACCGAGTTGGCGATTACCAAGATGACGGTGATTTCGAAGAGAAGAACCCAGACGAGGGCATCGCGATGGGAACCACCAGCGGTAAGAACGCAAACAGCTCCAGCAGCCAGCCGGCACCTCCTCCTCCCAGCCAGCCGGAAAGCCCGCCAACGGAGGTCCTCCCGGCCAGCGAGCGGGAGCCGTACCGCTTCTTCGACAACACGGGGATCGGACTCTGCGATTACTGTGGCCGCGACGGCCACGAGGCCGAGGCATGTCTCAAGTGGGACCCGGTTCACTACGACAAGCCCGTGTGCACGGCGTGCAACAACGATCAGCACTCTCTTGATGAGTGTCCCAGGTTCCGTGCCATGCCCACACCGGAGAAGCAGGCCCTACTCCTCGATAAAGGCGCCGGCAGACCCGGTGTACGCAGCCAGTACTACCCGTGGACGAGCTATGTCCACCGCGACGGCTACAGGATCAGTGACGCCGGACTTCCGCTGACGAGGCGGTTCCTGTTCAATCTCTCGGTCAGCCCTGAAAGCGGCGCGATGCTTCAGAACATATGGAAGGTGTGGGACTATGGTCAGGGCGTCCCGGACCAGTTTCAAGACCCCCGGGCCGAGTCTCTGGCGGGCGACCCGGCGGCCCCAGTGGATGAGAGGTTCATGGGTGGCAAGCACGGGCTAGGTTGGAATGTCCACCCGCCCGTTGGATTCGGCGGAAGCAACTGAGTCATCAACAATGTCATGAGGAAGACGGGAATGGCGAAGCGTCATGTCATCTAAGTGAACAAGCCGCAGGTCTTTGTAATTCACACATACTAGTACAGTAACACAGTCACATTCTTGAATTTGCGACAACCTCTTGTGAAATATCCTCCTTTGGGATATCTTCCTGTGACATACATACCCTTCTGCGGGATTATGACTGACAAGATTCCATTCTATGGGATAAATTCCTGTGAGATACTCTCCTTCCGTAGGAGGTTATTGCATGGGAGGTTGGGCAGTGAGCACTGCCCAGGTGTCACTACATAAGTAAATAGATGCTGTAGTAGCGGACACTCGAGCATGATCGCAGTCAGATGCAATTGACGAGGCCAATACGCCAAATGTGGCATTACTTGACTCGAAATGGGAGGAAACGGACCAAAGAAACCCGTTGTAGAGTCTTTAGTGCTGGCACCTCAGCCCCTGCACTGCTTAATGGCATTGTGCACGGGATGTAGAAGATGCCGTGGTAATAAGGTAAATCGTCGAAAATACCATCACTACTATGAGGTGACATTCTCTCAGACTGGCTTCATGCCATGAAAGCTCGGAGCGGGTGTGCGTGCATCAGCCGTCATAAATGGCGCACAGGTACGCAGACCAAGACACAAATTAGAACTCAACAGCCCCGACAGCCCTACGAAGATGCCAATTCCCAATTAGTTCAGTTGAGTCGAGACATTTGTTGCCGAGAGGGTTACATACAAGCTCTGTCAATATTTGTCAGCCGTGCATCAGACTACCAACTGACCAACAGTTGATGATATGTGAGCTTTAGGGGCAATGGTAGTATCCCAATGATATCTTCACTACCTGGGTACTTCGGGAGGCGGAACTCCCACCCATGGTTTTCCGTCCGCCCACCCAGCTTTTACTGTCCGCCCACCTAGTACAAAAATTTGGCTACACACACCACTAGAAAAAAGGTATCCTGCCAAGACAAAAATGGCCTATATACTTTAAGCTACTTAAGCCCTCTAGCCCTTTAGCCCTCTAGCCCTTTAGCCTTCTAGCCTTCTAACTATAGTACTCTCTAGCCTTTTAACTCTCTAGCTTTAATTTAGCCTTCTAGCTCTCTAGTCATACTATTCTTTAGCCAGAAAGCTAAAAAAGTAAAAAGCTAAAAGGTTAAAAAATTAATATATAGCGAAAGGGCTAGAGGGCTTAAATAGTTTAAAGTATAGGCTTTTTTTGTCTTAGCAAAATATCTTTTTTTTAGTAGTATGTATAGCCAAATTTTTGTACTAGGTGGGCGGACAGTAAAAGCTGGGTGGGCGGACGGAAAACCAGGGAAGGGCGGACGTTGGCTGGGCGGAACTCCACGGCGCTCCACAAATGCTACTGTCTGCATTGACTATGTGATGTAGAAAATTTATTTTATAACAGTTACGGGTCCTTTGGCGCAATGGTAGCGCGTCACTTTCCGGTGGTGAAGGTTCACGGTTCGAGTCCGTGGAGGATCGATTTTTTGGCTGGAAAGCAGCGGTCTTGTCACTCATTCAGCAAATTTTTGGTCTAATGTTGTTACAGTGGTGAAGGTGCAATGTTTGAGTTTGTAAAGGATTCTTTGTTTTCAAATGTTGTTAATGCAGCTTTTCATGTCACCCAAATTCTTACCGTAGTAAAGCCACATTCTCCAAAAATTTACAATGTCATCACAGAGCCCTGTGCCTAGGTAGTTTGCTTACCTTCTGCGGCGGAAAAAAAAAATGAAAACACTACAAGGAGGCATATCTCACAGGCGCCTACAAATCCGGAACCGGGCTCACGGCCTTAACAGTACTCCTCCACCCATGAGCATACAGATGTCGTTCCGAGCAGGGGGCACCCTTTCACCAAGCAAAGCTCGTAGAAATGGAACGCGTTACGGGTGGTTTCGTTTTTAAGTGGTTTCGTTTTTAAGTGGTTTCGTTTTTAATCCGTGTACGTACGCTTCTTAAGCAGTATGTAGGAGGCCCCTTCATACAGTGGTAAACGCTTAAACACCCAGCGTTAAAAAAAAAACCCACAATGCTGATAACAGTAGGTTTAGAATACGACTCCCCATATAATGACAATCCCATAGCGTGATATTCTATAGAACAACCTCCAGTAGCAAGATTATTCCATAGGAGGGTATTCCCTCCTATAAATGACCTATGGGAACAACTTGTACAGGGTAATCAGATGAGAAGTAGGGAAGCCCCAAGTGCTCCGCAATGACACGTTCAAAATGTTTAAGAATGTAACTGTATTACTGTAATCATGTGGGCGGTGATTGCATCCCGTCCATGTCTGGCAAAAAGTGTGTAAAGATGTTGTCCAGATAAACCTGCTCAAGAGTTTCATCACTCAGAAAGAACGGGCCATCGCCGCTATTCTGGTTGTTAACTGGTGATGCAGTCTGATCGTCGAGTATGGGATGGATATAATGTGTGGATACTCGTATTGTAGCGTCTTGAAGCCGGCCTGAACCTTCTCGGGGAGGGACGGGCGGCGTCATTTGGCTTATCTTGGGATCAACCAGTGCCCAGAACAGAGCTGGATGGAAGACGATGGAAATGCCTTTGTTACTTGGTGATTGCGCATTGTTTTGCGCAATGAAATCCAGGTCTTGTAAAATCTTGAGCTGTTGATATGAACCTTAGCTTCTGTAAATGAAGGTACTGAAGTTGATACCCGTGAAGCTGTCCGGGTAAGATACCTACTTTCTGGGAAATGTGCGGCCATGATGTCGACAACCTCCCCAAGAACCCTTTGCACCAGCTGAGGTCACCCCTCGCCTTCTGAGCCACTTTAACATCGCTGGTACGCTGAAACAGCCATGGTATTGTTGCTAGTACTGCAACCAGCTGACCGACCAAGGGATCGTAAACTTCAAAATTTTGCGATTCGCAAGACCTTAGTAGACGAAACACCCACGCTGAATGATATAGCGCCTGATCCACTGTTTGCTGTAGAAACAGGCGCGACTGCGGACCTTTGGGCTTGTCACGCATCGCTACTAGGTGAATAAAGGGATGATTTAAAATGGCTGGGATAGCATGGGACACGACTTGCATCAGAACCCAAGGAACCCAGTATTCGCGCTGTTCATGAAGCTCAGCTGAGGATCGTTCGGTAAAACGGACATTCCTTAGAAGGTGTCGATGAGCCATCATTGCTTCATGTTCGAATATTTGGGCGCAAAGAGTGTTGTGCAACGACCCAGAAGCCCAAGCGGTCCCGGCTTTTCCGATTCGAATTTGGTGCATGTATGATGAGAGGTGGCCCCATATCCCGATGAGCTTGATGTAGTATGTCGTAATTCCCAAATCCTCCACAGCATCTTCAGAGTAAAGATCTGCTGGACATTCACCGTCGTTTGTGGGAGGGAGCGATGGTGGTATCGGAGCGCTGGCTGGGTAATTAATGGTGTCGTCGTCTTGTGATGCTGTGCACTGTTGCGGAGTAAATGTTTGTTCGAGGATAAACACGGTCCAGTGGCATTTTAGGCCGAATTCCTGATCAGGTGAAGAGTCGATAGAACCAAGCTGAAGTGATTTGCGCAAAGCTTCGAGTCTAGATAAAGTCCCGATGCTCATCCAAGCCTGGCCCGGCCTGCAAGCTGAAGTTCCCATGTCAACCGCCGTGTAGCGCGTGGAGGAAGGGGCCTCATAGAGTGTCGCACTTACCAGCAACATCAACCAAAACTAGCAATGATAACGCTTGTAATACTTCTAGATTAGGAATTCCGCGTAGAGCCAGACTCGTGACTTCTTGCCGGGATGAGGTGCTGTAGAATTCGACCGCTTCTGCCTCCCGGCCCAAGTAAAATTCATGGGACCCAAAATGCAAGATGAGTGCCAGGAAGCTCCAACGGAGAAATTGGGGCGACGTGAGAATGTAACCTCTGAGCCCAATCAGCTTGAAAAGCTGTAATGGCTGATAATGAAGTTTGTTACGGTACACGTTAATAAGGTGGTCGAAGACCTCTGGGGGTGGATCCGGACTTGAATGCCGAGTCAGCCAAATAATGCTCAAGGAAGACGGTAACGACGTACTTAGAAACACTAAAGGTCGCAGCTACAAGTCGTTGTGGCTGCTCGAGCATGTTGTTGCCTCCAAAGCTGGAATCGGGCCGGCTACGCGACATCATGTTAGGAACACTTGTAGAAGTGTTTAGTGAGGGATCGGGTTCGCCAGTTGACGGTGGTCTTGAAAGAAAGTCAGAACTGCCCTGGATGTTGGGTATAAGCTATCAACTTACTGCAGCAACTGGTAGATATCTTTGACTTGCGACTCCAGCATCTGAAATCGCTCTTGTAATTCATTTTTGTTGGTTCTTTACTCAAATCAGCAAGAAAGACCACCATGAGCCATTACGTTGCCTGGCGCACTTCTTCCGCTCCCGGTTACTTTTCCTGACAGCTGATTTTGGTGGCTCGGGCGACCGATAAACGCACGACTGATTCAGACGCTTGCAAAACGAGCATGCGGGTCTCTCTGCCGTGCATTTGCTCTTTTTCCTCCTGTGCGAAGAGTGATCAGCACGGCGGCATCTTGCGCGTGATCAGATAGAGCCTCACCGACATGGCTCGCATGCTTGCTTGCTCCGTGGTTCCGACATTCCTGTAGCTGAGCGGAATCATTCAACTGCCGGGTCGGTTGATGAGGGTAAGAGAAGTCCGGGTCCCGGGGAAAAGATGGGGACGGAACAGAGTCGCAGCGATAGCGCCCGTGTACCAGGGGCATGGAATGAGGGTAGATCACGTAAGCGGAACCCGAATCACGAAACCAACTCGGCATCGCGACAGGCATAGTTCCGACATGTAAACGCTGCTTTCGAGGGTCAACCTTCGAGACTTGCGGAATGTAAACAATCAACCTGTCTTCATAAGCCTTGTCTCTCTTACGAATGATCTCTCAGAAAACCAAGCAACATTGCTTTTTGTTACCCAATGTACTACTCTGTCACGCACGATCTGCGCCTATGCTGCACATATCCGTTGTGCCGTTCACCCTACTCGTGACCCTTTGCGGGTATGACTCCTCAAGCGTGGAGGAAGTGACTTATTCCCCGAGGTATGTCGTTACTAAAGCCTAGCTCTGTCTTGCCCATCAAGCTTCGCCCTCTCCTGAGCGTTCAGCTCCCGTCGTTCCGGCCCACCTCTACTACCGTCACCCAGGAATGCGTCCGGTTGGTGCTCATAGTCCTTGCGGAAACGCCACTTGTTAGCCAAGTGCCGAGGAAGCTCTTTCTTGATCCCCAAAGATAGGTATTCGCCAAGGACCGGAAGGAATTTGAAAGCACTAGAGCAAGATATGTCAGTGTACATTCCGAATGATGACTTTTCCTGAACTCACTGTCCACTGCCCCCTCCACCAAAAAACAAGTTCTTATAGTCCGGATGGTAGTCCATGATGAAGTCACCCGTAGGCGTATCTGTGTACCAGCAGAGAGCCACCCTGTCGAATGGACGATCTGCGAGCTCGGGTAGTATCTCGCGCAACCCTTGGCGAAGGCGCGCCTCGGAATCGGCTGGCGCAAAATTCGGGCGCTCACGCGAGAGCGCCGGTGGTACAGAGATGTTACTCGTCGTCGTGTTGTTGTCATTCTTGGATGGCGCTCGAGTGTACCCCCAGCCGTGCACAGCAAACTTGAGCATGTTGGTGTCCTCATGAGGAGGGAAGTTGAACCACCCTGTTGAGAAGTTGGCGTATATGGGAAGATTCTTGTACTTTTCCATCTCTGACTCTGTCAAACGGACATACCCCAAAGCCTGGGCTGTCGACAGAGTCGAGTTGTAAGTGGGAACGAGACCGGACGCCCAAGCTCCAGCTGTGAGTACAAACTGATCGCCCTCAATCAGTCTGCCTGCAAGTGTACGAACTGACTTGATCACACCCTGGGCATCACTGTTGAAGCCGAGCACAGTACCAGCTGGGCCTGCCGTGAAAGACACACCCAGTTTGAGACACTCGTTCCTCAGCTGAGTGATAGCCTTGCTAGCATCTGCCCAGCCACCTGACTCATTAATATAGCCCTCAAAATCTGGCTCAGCAAGCTTGCCGGTAAGAATCGGGAAATGTCGCTTCGCTGCCGCAGCGTCTTTCAATGGAGACCAGGCAAGTTGTCGCTTGTCTAGTTGGAACGTTGTTTTGTTCATCCAAGACTCTTTCCCCGGCTTCTTTGAGCCACAAAGAATGTACCGGGAAGGGTAAAATATGCCCTCATATTTGGACTCCCTGGACCATTTCAAGTAGGCATCATAGGCAATGCTACAATAGTCCTCATCACCGTAGTCGAAGCGGATGACTCGCGAGATATCTGAGCTGGAGCCATCTGGAACCTGGAGTATGAAACGTTAGCACTATCATACAAAACCAAGAAAAGAAAAACTGAATTGAATCACCGGTGGCATGTGTCTGTCGACGACAAGAATGTTCCGGTAGCCTTCGGAGGCTAATTGTTTGGCAGTGGCGAGGCCGAACAACCCTGCAC